ATCGCTGCCTCACGTGTCTGGGCATGAAGCACACTGAGGTGGCGTTCGTGGATGAGTCATGTTCCCATTGCGGGAAGATGACCATCTCGGAGCTGCGGACCAGGCTTCGCTACCTCCAGGGGGGCGGTGTTCCGTTGCCTCTGCCGCGATTTAGTGCTCGTTCTGACGGTAGCAAGGCAAGGACTACTTCCAGCAGTAGCGCGGGCGGTCTGAGGGTTACAGTGGTGGCAAACCCCTCAGGGAACCAACCCTCAGGATCCCACCACTCCTCCAGCGCTTCGCAGCCAGCCGAGCCGCCGAAGGAACGTGCTGGGCCCTCTTCAAAGAGCGTACCAGCGGTATCCCTCGGGGCTCCTCCCGATGACGGGATGTCGATCGCTGCATCGGAGGGAGCGCTCTCTGGAGAGGAAGATTCGGCTGCCCTGCCGCCCTCCGGGACGGTGGCAATGCCTGAACCGGATCCAGAGATGTCGGCTATGCTTTCCCGGGCCGCTGAAAGGGTAGGGCTCAAGTGGAATTCTCCATCGCGTCCCGAGCCCTCGAGGTTAGATGATTGGTTTCTCGGGGTGGCTCGCACTGGTTCTCAGCGCCTCGCCCTGGTGCCTTTCTTCCCGGAAGTGCATGAGGAGCTTACCAGGTTGTGGATGGCACCTTTTACTGCCAGAAACCGGCCTTCTAGCTCTCCCTCCCTCACCACCCTCGATGGTGGTGCAGCGAGGGGGTATTCGGTGATCCACCCGGTGGAGCGGTCGCTAGCGATGCAGTTGTGTCCAAAGACCGCCTCCTCCTGGTGGGGAGACCCGTTGCTCCCTTCCCGGGCCTGTAGACATTTGTCTGGTCTTATACGGCTTGCGGGGAAGCTGCCTATGCCTTACATGCTATGGCGTTACTGCAGGTGCACCAGGCCAAGGCACTGAAGGACCTGCACGAGGGTGGTCACGATCTGGAAGTTCTGACAGAGCTCTGAACCGCCACTGACCTCGCGCTCCGAGCGACGAAGGTCATCGCGGGTTCTCTGGGTCGTGCGATGTCCACGCTTGTGGTCCAGGAGCGCCATCTCTGGCCGTGTCTGGCGGACATGAGGGACACCGACAAGGTTCGGTTCCTCAATTCCCGACGAAGGTCATCGCGGGTTCTCTGGGTCGTGCGATGTCCACGCTTGTGGTCCAGGAGCGCCATCTCTGGCTGTGCCTGCACAGAAGCAGACTGAGGCGACTTGACACATCTTGCCCCGGCGGGCAGCTGCTGCCTCCACCCGCCTGCCGGCCGCAGCGCCCCAGCCTGCTCGTCGCCGAGGGCAGCCCCCTGCGTCCGCGTCCGCCCCCGCTCCCGCACAGCATCCGCAGCAGCCTCCACCCAAGCATCGCCGTGGAGCCGGGCGTAGGCAAGCCGCCCAGCCCGTCCAGGCCCCCGCCAAACCTGGCGGCAAGCGGAAGAGCAAGCAGCCCTGAGACGGGCGACCCAGATATGGAGGAATCTGCTCTTCGGGAGATGGTGAACGCATCACTCCCTCACCCGGGGAGGGCTAGGTGGAGAATCTTTTGTTTTGTTTTTCCCTGCCGTCGGCCTCACGGTCGACGGTACCCAAATTCTCGACAAAAGAGCAGTTTTCACTATCTCTGGGTCCCAAGAGGGCACGGAGGATCGCGGACGGTTCAACTCTGGACCGCACTCATCCTCCTCTCTCGCCAGCAGTCAGCAGCGGATTGTTCGAGAGCGTCAACAAAGGCCCTACTCACGCACCCTCTGCCAAACTGTGGAACCAGGTAAGTGCTGCACGGCACACTCAGACCCCTCTTCGGTCCGCTCACAAGCCGTCCGAGTTGGGTCCCTGCGTTCCACCTCGCTGCCCCACTACTGGTACGCCGGTGGTTCCATTGGTCCCGCTTGCACGGTATTTGGGTGCCTGGCTAGCGTTACCCAGCCCGTCTCGCTGGCTTCTGCGGACCATCAGCCTCAGCTATGCGATTCAGTTCGCCCGGCGTCCACCCAAGTTCAGTGGCATCCGCTTCACGACAGTGAAGGCGGCCGATGCTCCTGTCTTACGTGCGGAGATCGCAGTCCTATTGGCAAAGGATGCGATAGAGCCGGTCCCTCCAGCCAATATGAATACGGGGTTTTACAGCCCCTACTTCATTGTACCCAAGAAAGGCGGTGGGTTACGGCCAATCTTGGACCTGCGTGTCTTGAACCGGGCCCTGCACCGGTTACCGTTCAAGATGTTCACGCAGAAACGCATCTTCGGGTGCATCCGTCCCCGAGATTGGTTTGCAGCGATCGACCTGAAGGACGCGTACTTTCATGTGTCGATCCTTCAGCGCCACAGACCATTTCTGCGGTTTGCGTTCGAGGGATGTGCATACCAGTACAAGGTTCTGCCCTTCGGGCTGTCCCTGTCTCCCCGTGTCTTCACGGAGGGGGCTCTTGTTCCCCACAGAGAGCAGGGTGTTCGCATCCTCAACTATCTCAACGATTGGCTTACACTAGCACAGTCTCGGGTTCAGTTGTGCGAGCACAGGGATCTGGTGCTTCAGCATCTCAGCCAGTTGGGTCTTCGGGTCAACTGGGAAAAGAGCAGACTCTCCCCGACGCAGAGGATCTCTTTTCTCGGTATGGACTTGGATTCGGTCGAACAGACAGCACGCCTCACAGAGGAACGTGCGCGGTCGGTGCTGAACTGCTTGAATTGTGTACATCAACTGACAAGGTGGTCTACGCTCCCGTCACATGTCGCAACTTTGGAGTCGGAAGGTTCTGAGGTCACTTCGTGACATTCACATTCCGGGTCTGCTCAACCGTATGACCGATGAGCTGTCACGAGCTACGCTCCAGGGAGAATGGAGACTCCATCCCCAGATGGTCCATCTGATTTGGAGACGTTTTGGAGCCAGTCAGGTAGACCTGTTTGCCTCTCCAGAAACCTGACAGGACGCGGAGGTTCTAGGTGACCTACCCCAAGAGGTAGATAACACCATCACTTCAGCGAGAGCACCGTCTACGAGACACGCTTACACTTTGAAGTGGAACCTGTTCATCGAGTGGTGTTCTTCTCACCGAGAAGACCCCCGGAGATGCCCAATCAGGGTCGTGCTTTCCATTTTGCAGCTAGGGTTGGAGCGAAGGCTGTCTCCCTCCACCCTTAAAGTCTATGTCGCAGCGATTGCTGCTAACCATGACCCCATGTAAGGGAAGTCGGTAGGGAAGCATGATCTGGTCATCAGGTTCCTTAGGGGGGCCAGAAGGTTAAATCCTCCCCAGTCCTCCTCTATACCCTCTTGGGACCTGTCTCTGGTGCTTAAAACACTACAGCAGGGCCCATTCGAGCCTTTGCAGTCAGTCGAGCTAAAGTTTCTTTCAATGAAAACTCTGCTCCTGCTTGCATTGGCCTCCATCAAGAGGGTAGGGGACCTGCACGCATTTTCGGTCGACGATTCGTGTCTAGAGTTTGGGCCAGCTGACTCCCACGTAATCCTGAGGCTCCGGCCCGGCTATGTGCCCAAGGTTCCCACTACTCCCTTCAGGGATCAGGTGGTGAGCCTGCAAGCGCTGCCCCTGGAGGAGGCAGACACAGCCCTAGCTTTGCTCTGTCCCATCCGAGCCTTGAGATACTACGTAGACCGGACACAAAGCTTTAGGACCTCAGACCAGCTCTTTGTCTATTACGGAGGCCGGCAGTCGCTGACAGATATTTGTAGAGCTGTGGGCTGGGCGACCCCCAACAAGTTCGCTAGATTCTATAGCCTTCATGTGAAGCCAGTATCCTCCTGTGTTCTCACCTCAAACGGGTAGAGGCACTAAGAGGCCCCGGTTAGTGTCAGCGTGCTAAAACTGCTCCAGAGTGTCCGTATTGTAGGCCCTGTCGAGCTCCTCCACCCCCTCGGTAGCCAGACGTGGCGGAACGTCCGGCACCAGGCCCTCACTCGTTTAATCCGTGAGAACCGGTAGAGGGCTGGGTTCCATATGTAGAGGCCTAAGTGGTTCCCATATGTGTAAAGTCCACGGTATAGCCTCAGAGCCCGTGTTTCCCCGGCAGACTTCTGCCATTTCCATGAGGGTTACAATCACCTCTAATCTTCCATATGCACCTAAACGGATGTCATATGTGTAAGTGCTTCCGAAACCTCCTTCGGGAAGGATGGGGCTTCCGCAACCTTCCTGTTCCAAGTGGTACGGGTATGATTTCCCAGTGTTATCCAATCTCACTGAGTGGGTAGTGCTACAGCAACAGTGACTGGTCTTCTTGTTGCGAGCCCCGGCCTACACCAAAAGGGGGTGCAGGAGGCTCGCAAAGGACACTGAAAGGGGCAGCATCCATGGCGCTTTGGTAGGGATCCCAATTCATCGGTCACGATGTGACTCGTAGTGACCGACTGAAAGGGAACGTCTCTGTTACGTATGTAACCCTTGTTCCCTGAAGGAGGGAATGGAGACGTCACGTCCCGTCGCCACGGCTGCTGTACCACCACTGAGCGGCCGGGTCACCGGCTCAGCTCCGAAGCAAAAACCTGGTATGCGTTGCATTTGCTGCCTTTTTATGCTCACGCTGTAATCAGCGGCAGCTGGATGCAATCATCACATGCCAATGTGCATTGGCTCGTTTAGTTTACACTCAAAGTAGATTGGTCTCTCAAAGCGAGATCCCAATTCGTCGGTCACAACGTGACGTCTCCGTTCCCTCCTTCAGGGAATGAGGGTTACATACGTAACCGAGACGTTTCTATATACTGATTACTGACAATATATAAATGGATAAAATTAATTAAACCAATGTTGAAATAAAGCTACAATGATACATACAAAGAACTGTAGCACTAGTTATCCATGTAAATCTCCAAAAGCAGAAAAAAAACTACTGGTATTTGACAGTAATAATGAGGGTTGAAGTTGTTTTTTTCTCTCACCTGTTTCAGTACGTTTTCTCTCATTGTAGAGACAGTCAAATCATTGTTGGACTTAAACTGCATTTTTACAAATGATTTTTTAAAACAGGGACCTAAACAAATACATGGATATTCATATGTATATGTATATACATAAAACATCTTCTTAATTTAACACTGAAATATTGAAAATATGTTTTAGATCCTATACACGATTTACTACAGTTTGCATTTATTAAAACATATCCACTGACAAAAAAAATATATGATGATGCATGTGAAGACATTATTACTATCCGATATTCTGATATCTGATAACAGTATTACCGGTTTACCTTCTCCATAGACTTTCACCTCACACAGAGTGAGTATCTTCATGTCTCCAGGAATGATTAGATTCATGTAACGTCCCTCCATCCCACCGCATGAGTAGCTGTAGGACTCACCTGCTGGAATAGCAGGAATAACAGCACATCTACAGACAGAAACACATGAGAGATGTAAAAATACTCTCATATCCTTCACATTTGTGGTCGATGTCTCGTGCTCTTTCAATCTCAATTTCCTCACATGGGATTGTTGTTGCTGTTGTTCTCCAAAGGGTTTCCGATGCGAATCTCCATTCCGTTTATTCGTTCTGCACAGCAGTCGTTTCTGTTAGTGATGACCACTCTGTTAACTCGGTAAATATGATGTAGATCCAGCCTCCACCATGGGTTAGTCTGACTGAGAGTTGAGGAGCATCCCGTATACAACTGCTGGAGACCTCGATCAATGGCTTTTTCAGCAAACCAGTTCTCAGATGTTGATGACTGTGTAGCAGCACCAGCTACTGCCAGATTTTCTAGAAAATGTATGAACAAAAATGTCACAATGCATCTTAATGCTCAAAGCTTGTAGCAGAGGCAAAGATTATTAGTGAACAGTGACTTGAAGTGAGAAATCAATTACTTTGACCAAACAAAAATGCATAAATTATGATTTTGTGTCTCTTTAAAATATGTTTTAAGCATGGCATGAGAGTACATGAAATATATATTCATGTAGAGCATTAAATTCAAAGCTCTACAACAATGAATTACCTGCCAAATACCCGTAGACTTCAACCTCGCAAAGACTAAGAATCTCCCAATCTCCAGGAATATGAACAATCACGTAACGTCCAACCATCCCATTACATGAGAAGTTGTAGGACTCACCTGCTGGAATAGTAGAAATAACAGCACATCTACAGACAGAGAGAGAAACAATTAGAGAACACATTCACATAATCCTTCACATTTGTTCTTGATATCTCACATTCTTTCAACCTCAAGTTTCTCACATGGGATTGTTGCTGCCATTGTTCTCCAAAGAGATTCCGATGCGAATTTCCGCTCCGTTTATTTGTTCTGCATAGCTGTCATTTCTGTTAGTGATGACCACTTCACTAACTCGGTAAACATCATGCAGATCCAGCCTCCACCATGGGTTAGACTCATTAAGGGTTGAGGTGCATGCTGTATTCAACTGCTGGAAGCCGCGATTACTATCAGTGGCCTTTTCAGCAAACCAGCCCGCAAATGTCGAAGATTGTATTACGGCTCCTTCTACTGCACGATTTCCTGGGAAATTAATAAAAACCTTTTGTGATCCATGTTTATGCATAATTTGAACAAGCGTGAATGAGACTTCTATGGAAGCGTATTTCCACGGAATAAAAAAATGTCAGAATTGTGGTGACAATAACTCACAATTGATGGTTCGCAAAGACCCGCCCACCCTTAGTAACTGTTGCTATCTCTGACAAACAATGCCGCTCTCACAATACACATCATGTTCTCACGCAGTGAAAAATACATTGCAGAGCAAAGAGGAAACTGACAACACACCGACAGACAAGACAGTGCAGGTTACTTCTGGTATGAAACAAGGTCTCAGGACTCTCAGCTATCAAATTTAGTCATTTTTAAAGAAATTCAAACAATAAATACCGTTTTGTGGTTCTTTATGTATCAAGACAGATCGCTGTAGTGCCTCAGTTCAAGCAGCACATGGGAACCGATCGTCTTTTCATATGTACTTAAAGCACGAAATAAACATGAATAAACATCAGAACGTATTTTATTTCAACCGCAGAACACACCCTTTTTCAAGTTTAAGTCCACCGAAGTTAATCTACTCTCCTGTCTGATTTGTGGTTAAGGCTAGAAGTGATACAGCTGCGGCTCCTGGGCATGCGCACATCAATATAACGTAATTTTTGTCACACTGTACAACAATAATTACTGTTTTTTGCATTATTGTTTAAGGTTGGGGTAGGTGTATACGTTAATAAAACACAATCAAATTCACATTTTTCTGAACGCGGAAGTCTCGTCCGACTGGAACAGTGCTTTACATTTCCGGTCTCTGTTTCAAGTCACAATAACAGATTTTCCAAGCCGATAATATAGTGTGAAACCTATTAAAAATGGTTTAAAAAACACCACATGGCGCCATAGTTTCATCACTTTACAGTGTCGCAATGACCATCTTTTTGCAGTAAAGGACATGTCATAGTTTAATGAGTGGGAAGATGACATGAAGTGATGCAAGGTTAGCTGTGTTGAACAGTGGTGGAAAGAGTACTAAGAAATTGTACTTAAGTAAAAGTATTGCTACTTAAGGAATAATTTACTTGAGTACAAGTAAAAGTACTGAAAAATAATATGACTCAAGTAAGAGTAAAAAAGTAGTTTGCTGAAAAACTACTCAAGTTACTGCGTTACAAAGTACTTTAGTATTATTTTTTATATTTTCACCCAAAATGAGACGATGTGAGCATTTTGGAGCAGGGTTAACCCTAACCCTTAGACCCATGTACTTTGATGTCTGTTTCACAAGTGAGACCCAGGAAATCCCTTATATGGAAAATGCATCAGATATCAGCTGAATAACATGGAGATAGAGACACTTCGACTGACGAAACGTGGAAGACAATAAACACACAATTACAATGCAATGCTAATTGACATAGCTTGTATCACAGTAAAGATTTTTATAAAAACATATTTTCTGTCTCACTGTGATAAGAAGCAACATAGAACCACAGAAGCTAACTGTTTCAAACACGACTGATGTTATATAGTGATTTTGGAGCAAAACGTGATACTAGTCTCATAAATTTTCATGATTGACGCTATGCTAAGCAAACATACCTATCCCTGTTGCCAGGTGCAACTGTTTTATAACTAATTTTGAAAAGTACATTCACACATAAAATTATGTGGTTGTTTTTAAGAAGGGCAAAAGCAAAGAAGGGTAAGTGAGGGTTTAAAATTAAATAAAGGGTTTAAAACAGTGTGAATAGAAAGGTGCCAGTAAAAAAATTATGTGGGGTATGGGTAAGGTTGGGCATCATTTGAATTTTAATGATTCCAATATTCTTGTCAATTCCTAATTTTGATTACAATAAGGTAAAAAATAAATAAATAAATATATAAATAATCTTAGATATCATCTTATTACAAAATATTTCATAGTTAGCTGAATACTATGAATGAAAATCAATAGGCTAAAGAACACTTGTTATAAAAACTACAGGTGGACTCCAGGCACATTTTCGGTAGGACAAAAAAAGAGCATTTTATTTAACATTTTAACCCATACCTAGGCTTGGGAATCCAAAATCTTTTCTAATTCTGGAATAGGATGCTTAAGGTCAGGAATCGTCTACTTGTTATAAAATTTACATTTCGATTCCTCTTATCGATTCTTTTGTGTGTATTTTAATATGTCTTTAAACCATTCATGCACAAGAAGACTTGTGCACTGTTTTCTATAATGCACACATAGGGGCATAGCCATCATTTCAGAAATGAGGGGGACAGAAATGTAAAAAAAAAAAAAACTTTTGACTTTTGTCTAATTGACAAGCTTTTTTTTTCTTATGTCTTTTAATTGGCCAAGAAATCAAATACACTGCTGGACGATAACCAATCATTTGTATTCTATATTTTTTTTCTGTATTTTCCTAATGACAATTTTAGGATTGGTTTATACAAACACATAATAAGGCAGAATAGTTTATATACTCTATTAAATGTTATGTCAATTAGCACTGCATTATTCATATACTATGTATTACCTGGAAATGACCTGAAATTACCTTTTTTAAGATATACAGCGATAGCGGGATGCCTTTGTCCATATTAGGGATTTCCTGCACGTCATAAGTTATTACTTCCACGAGGCCGTTTTGGACTTTCTGCGCGAGAGCGCCCTCCGGCTTTGAGTATGAATGAAACATGCACTGCATGTTCACATCGTCTCGTTTTGGATATGTATAAATCGGCCGGTCATACATAGACTAGCCTATGTAGTTTCTTCACCCATGTGCACACACATCCAAAGCACGCACACATAAAAAGTGATTTAAAATGAATCTGATTAACAGATAAATCATGGTTGATCTATCAGCCAGATGAACGTAAAAACGTGCTCCACCCCAGAAGTTTGACAAGTGCCCGTCAAATGCCGGCTCGCTCTTTTTTTCCATCAGAGCCTCTTTTGTCTTTTTTTTTTTTTTTTTTTTTTTTCTTTTTAAAAAAAAATTATACTAAAGAAAGTAGAAAAATTTAAAAATGTACTCAAGTACTGTAACGAAAGTATTTGTAATTAGTTACTTTCCACCTCTGGTATTGAAAACAGATGAGCGCACATGTGCATATAAGTTACAGCTCCCGATTGGGGCAAAGTTCACAGGATTTTGTCCACAGAATGATAAGAGCACACGTTTTAACATATTATTTTATTATTTCACACTCAGAATTTTAACTTAAGCGCTTCAAGCCATGCATACAGTGCCGGACATGGACAGATTTTCTGGTATGCAAAATAAGTACTTTAAAGGAATTCCGTTAGCTTATTGCTGTTACTGTGGCAGCCAACAATAGCACAGCTTAATCCTGCACACATTTTTATATTTAGATATATTGAAAAGGTTTCAATTCAGTCTATCTTTTTTACCCCGTTTTAACATGGATTTCAATGGAGACTGACCGTAGCTGTTGGGCAAGATGGCAGATAGCAATGGTGGCACATAATATACGCATTCTGATTGGTCAGATCACCTGTCAATCAAGCTCTTTGCGCACGGTCAATTGTGAGAAAAAAAACTCTAAATTCTGAGAAATTTGTATTTATTTTTTTTTACTGCAAGTTGCAAATTCAGAATTTGAAGAAAAATGTCAAAATTGTGAGATGTAAACTCGCAAAAAAAGTCACAATTATCTTTTGTATATTTTTATTCTATGGCGAAAACAAGTTTACATTTGAGAGCAACAGTGGAAGGGAAGAATATTGGTAAAAAACTACTTGAAATGTGTAATTTATTTTACCAATCACTATTAAACAATTACAACTACATTCACAATAATTAGAGGCCGTACTTCATTACTTCAACAACCTGTTTTTTTTTTTAAACAATCTCTCTATCTTCAATAACACCACAATTAGCACTGTTAGTCAGTCACATGGGGTTTTTTTTTTAAATGTGTGTTTTTCTTCAGTTATTATCTGCAATGTTTATGGTCTTTTCAGCCAGGATAAGCAAAATATTGAAATCATTAAAGTGGGTGTGTCTGCTATGCACATGCTGACACAGGTAAATAAGCCAACATAAAATATATTTCTTTATGTATGTAGTTATGCAGGAAATGTTAAACATGAACATATATCTGGTATTAGTATCTGAAATTCATTCGAATATACAATGAATAACACGATACAAGCCTCTGTTACTATATTGCTCTATGTTGTATTGAAATTCAAAGCTTGCACCATTTTGGAAATAAAGCTTCCTTTGTACCATACTGTATGTTGTCAGCATTATTTCTCTGAATAATTTATGGTGTGTATATTTTTAATGTCCTGATTGAGCAACATCTATTTCAGACTTTTAGATCATGCAAATTCTATGGTGTTTTAGTATTACCATTTCCATTTGAGTAAACTGTTATGTATATATGTTGAATTAATTATTATTTTAACCAAACTTTTAATCATTACCTGCTTCAAAATGAATGATGTTAACAAAATCATTGTTGAAATATTTGCAGTTAGCCTACTGTACGAATAAAAACACTACAACAACAATAATACAAATAAACAGTGAAAAACTGTACAAGGTGAATTAAGGTATATGTGTATACAAAGCATTTATCTCTATTCAGATTTCAGAATGATCATGTTGTCATTTGTAATACATATATTGAGCATCCAATGTTTATTTTTATTTAGCTGATGAACGCTACTGTAATTTAAATGAAGGTAACTTTTAAATACCTAGGGGAAATCCCTGACATTAAACAAATAACCGTTTACATGCTTAGGGCATTTGCATTGTATGAATGTACAGGGATACTTAAGATATAAAAACGCTGACTTGTTAGGTGATGTTTTCTCATTAATTCTATTAATTCAATATAATGTATGGGAATAGCTAGTCTCAGCCTCAGACATCACGCCCACGGACCGATGCATACGGCACACTTAGCTGGAAACACTTTAGGAGTTTTGAAGTCATCATTGGATTGGCTGAATTAAGCCCTATTCGCACAGGATTAGTATTATCTGGGGACCTTGTGTGATTTTGAAATTACCCCCCCACATCTAAATTTCGTATGGTACATTCGCACGGGATAAGCGAAGCCTGTGATTTTACTCGAATTTACTGACTTATCTCCCGGATACGATGTCAAGGCTTTGAGAGTCCCGTTCTATGGTCCAGTTAGATGAATTAAAAAAAAAATAAACTAATATAGTTTCGTGTCTTGTGTCATTTACATTTCACCAGGTTAAAATAATATCTCAAGCTTTATGCTTGATTTATTTGTAACACATTAACCTCAAAACCTTTTCAGCTTTCTCTTTCTGCAAATTGTATGGTGTAAGCGATATAACAGCATCCAAAATACAATCAAACACTCCAACGCAGCTCCATTCTTCGCGAAAGATGGATAAAAAGGCGAAACAAAAAGGAACACAGGAAACAAAAACCTCAAAAAATGATATACGACCCGCCAAATGCTGGCCAAATCACAGAGATGCCGATTCGCACGGGACTAATATTATCACAGGACGTCGGTTTTCGGCGAAATATGGTAGGTCATTTGGGGGGGAATTTTTACTTTACAAATTACAGACATGGCCGATTCACACGGGATTAAGATCAAGACAACCTCCGCAATTATTACAAATGACTGGAGGTCACCAGGTAATACTAATCCCGTGCGAATAGGGCTTTATACAGGATTTGCGGGAGACGTGTGTGTCGCGTTCTTTAACATTCTGCCTGGAAACAAAGATGTTGTGATGCCAAACCCCTTCATGGAAGAAGAAAGCCATCGTGCTTACAACTGTGACGAGCGCTTATCAGGATCAACTAAACACTGGATTTTCAAAAGTATGTGAAATATTTAAAGTTTGCAGCATAGAATCTTTAAAATACGTCCGAGAGTTTTACACACCGGTCTGTTATTGTGGCATATTTAAAGTTTGCAGCATAGAATTTTTTAAATATGTCCAAGAGTTTTACTAATCTTTTGTTATTGTGGGGACATTTCCTCGCCCCTAAACATGATGCGGCACAAAAAGAAATGTGATTGGTTGCTTTACCTGTCAGTCATATGGCCTCTTGGGTGGGCCTTGGCCATTCAAAGCGGCCAAGGTTCCCAGACCTTCTGCCGTCATTCTGAAGGTCTGGTTACGCAAGACTAGGGAATAGCTACTAGGGAATACCATTATGGTGGCGCAGTGAGCAATCCAGTTCTCTAGATCAGTGGGAACAACTCACCCTGTCGTGACTGACCAATCAGAATCAAGCCTTCCAGAGAGCCGTGTGTAATAAAAAAATATTTATTACATTCAATATTGAAAAGTGCTATACAATAATGAATTACCTGCCAAATACCCGTAGACTCCAACTTCAGCAAGAGTAAGCATTTTGCCATCTCCAGGAAGATGAACAATCATATAACGTCCCACCATCCCACCGCATGAGAAAGTGGCCGTGGCACTGGCCGCAAGAGTAGAAATCACACCACATCTACAGACAGAAAGATTGTTTGTTATTGGTTTGTCTTAATCTGCAGTGCTATTAATAGGCTAAATACAGTCAAATAAATCCTCACATGGTGTTACTGTAAACGTCAAGAAAGTTTCCGATACGAATCACCGCCCCGTTAATCCTATCAGCAAAGTTATTTCTATTGGTGATGGTGACTCTGTTCACTCTGTATACTTTCAGCAGGTCCACTCTCCACCACGGGTCAGTCTCTGATTTGGTGTGGGCCACGGTGGTCAACAATCCATCAATAGCATAAGTAGGTAGCCAGAATCCATAAACTGATGACTCACTAGTTTCACCCCAAAGTGCTGCGTTCTCTGGAAAATGTTTCACGAATAAAGGCCAGTAAGAAGTCACCATTGTTTTATTCTTATCAAGCATTAGATCTCAAAGGGGATTTTTAAAGCATCTTACCAAAGTCATCTTTATTACTTATCATCAGCAATGTCAGAAATGAAGGGTGCAATTTTTTTCTTTTTTTTAAGTCAGATAATGTAATTACTAAGTACTTTTACATTTCTAAGCACTTTAATATTTGCCAGTTCAAACAGACAAAACAGAACAAAGATTTAAATAAAATGAATGCTTCTTGCCTTCTTGTCCATTTGCCATTCCCTCAATCAATAAAAACCCTGTGGACATGAGATTTGTGAGTAGAACTAGGTTTTGTTAAATCACAATCATATTTGCATTTCTTTTTTTTCTTTTATTCCATTTGATATTGTTGCTAACAAACTATCTAAATGATAATGGAAACATAAAATAGACATAATAATGACAAAATCTGCAACAAGAAAAATATTGTAATCTAAAGTGGGACGAGGACACATTCCTGTAAATCACTATCAGGTGTTCTTGACAAATACAGACTATCAAACTATTTTTATACACAAATGAGCATCTATTTATCATAAGATTTGTTTGGTAAAGTAGTTTGAAGAAAAACAACTTTGAAGACTAGAGATTAAGTGACAAACAAATCCACATTCTACAATCAACAAGTTTGAGATCAGTAAATTAAGAACTTCACGCTTTCATTCAACAAGGGCACATTTAATTAATCAAAAGTGTCAGTAAGGACATTTATAACATTACAAAATATTTATATTTCAAATAAATTATGTTGTTTTGAACTTTCTTTTCACCAAATAACTTGCAAATAAATAATGCATCACAGTTTACACAAAAATATGATGCAGCACAACAGATTTCAGCATTGATAATAATCAGAAATGTTTCTTGAGCAGCAAATCAGAATATTAGAATGATTTCTGAAGATCATGTGACACTGAAGACTGGAGTAATGATGCTGAAAATTCAGCTTTGATCACAGAAATAAATTAGTTTAACATATATTCACATAGAAAATGTATTTATTTTACTTATTTTCAGTTGTAATATGTTTGAAAATATTATTTGTTTTGTAACAATACACAGAGCACAAGTATATAATGCAAACAATGATAAAAATGTATGGTTAAAAAAATACCTTAATTATAGACAACCATACATGTATGAAACAGCAACTGATCAAGATTAAGTTTATTTGGCAAGAAATTTCAACACGAACAGAGCAACATTTCTGAACAATGGAAAAACACTGCAGAAAACTCTGTTATTATGTTAGTGTGAATCTAATAAAAAGCAGATACATGAATGTTGTACTTTACCCAGTAAAATCCACAGGACATTGTAGAGCTTCTTCATGGTTGTTTAAAGGCATCTGTCTTTCTCTTAGGATGGAGAGTGTGCATTATATACGTTTTATGGAGGATGATGCATTTAAATGTGCATCACATGACATTCCTCGTCCTTTCCGTCACATTCTCCTGTCTGTCAGCTGCAAAAACACAGACAAACAAATAAGCGTCAAATAAGCAAGCAGCTGTAGAACATGTGCAGGACACTTAAATGTGATTGTGCTTTTTCCATTGATGAACTTACATTAGGACATCAGAGCTCCTCCATTTCTTACTGTTTTTAAAGGTTATGTAAAGTCTTGTTTGTGTTCTCTAACCTTAGTGTAGTTTAAAAGTTCTAGAATGCATGAATTAATTATATAACAGCAATCAAAAACATTAGTGACATCCATTTTATTTTATTTTTTGCAAATTTTGTGTCCTCAACTCAATATTTGCATAGACACTTATGCAGTACAGGCTGAGGTGGAGTTGTTTTGTTTTTTTTAGTTTTGCATAGAACAACATTAACAGTAGCACAGTTTCCACCGGTACCCTGCTGGCCAGCAGTACCAGTGGTGGTCGTTGTTTAATATGGCACAAGTTTCACGAATAGACCCTATTCCATCTAAGTTACTAAAATAGTTGCTTAAGTCATAGATCCTCTTCTGCATATTATTAATTAACCAATGACATTAGGATATGTTCCCAAAACCTTCCAATTGGCTGTTATTAAGCTTCTCATTAAAAAACACAACTTGATCCTAGAGAATTAGTTAATTACAGACAAATCTCCCTTTTCTGTCAAAAATACTAGAAAAGGCAATACCCTCTCAGCTATGTTTCTTCTTAGAGAGAAATGGTATCTGTGAGGTTTTCTAGTCAGGATTTAGACCGTATCATAGTACTGAGACCACTCTCATCAGAGTTACAAATGACCTGCTCTCGAAGAAGCAGTCGAGCAGCAGAAGATGTTTTCTCATTTGTCGTTGCTAGGAAGCATCATTTCACTTACCGTGGTAAATACGAGTTCAAGTCGCGTTTTTTCTCATGCGTATCGCAGAACTTTCCAGTTTCGGTTTGCTAAATAGTAAGGCGTGGCCAAAGCCAGTAAAAGTACTTATTTACCTGTTTGAAAGCACTTGTTAGAAGAAGCAGTCCAGCAGCAGAGGGCGTATTACAGAAAGATCCTAACTTTAAAATCTTATCTTATCTGCTTGGTAACCATTGTAACTTCAGTTAGGACCACATTTAGGACAAAAGCTATTACAGAACAGCGTTTCCTAAGTGTGTTATCTTATCTTAACTACAGATAGGAAGGGGGTATTACAGAAACCTCCTAAATTGACAAAAAATCCTAAAAACTGTCTTAAAGGAACACTCCACTATTTTTGAAAATAGGCTCATTTTCCAACTCCCCTAGAGTTAAAAAATTGAGTTTTACCATTTTCGAATCCATTCAGCCGATCTCCGGGTCTGGCGGTAGCACATTTAGCTGTAGCTTAGCATAGATCATTGAATCTGATTAGACTGTTAGCATCTCGCTCAAAAATGACCAAATAGTTTCTATATTTTTCCTATTTAAAACTTGACTCTTCTGTAGTTACATCGTGTACTAAGACCGACGGAAAATGAAAAGTTGTGATTTTCTAGGCCGATATGGCTAGGAACTATACTCTCATTCCGGTGTAATAATCAAGTAACTTTGCTGCCGTACTATGGGTGCAGCAGGCACAATGATATTACGCAGCACCTGAAAATAGTCCCCAGCTAGGTAACTTCCAACAAGCCTATTTTCAGGCACTGCGCAATATCAATATCAGCAAAGTTACTTGAATATTACGCCGGAATGAGTTTAACAACTGCAGTTTTCAGGGAGTTTGGAAACGTCCCAGAAAGAAGTGAGGCGTTCACCACTTCTAAGAGATCTGCTTCTAAACAGTTAAGCACCCTTTTGAAAAAATATGTGGGAAGTGTGTGTAGCGTCTGGACCAATCAAACACACAATATATATTTTGTTAGCTATATTTAACAAATACTCTGTAACACCCCTCAGTTAACAAGCCATACGAGGACCTATGGACCCTTCCCCCGAAATGCGTAACACCCCAGGAAGCCGAACAGGCCCCTGGTCCCCATGGCAACTGCTGTACTATTTCTTCCAAAATTTTGCTATCAATTTCTTCAAAAGCAGACATAGTATCTTCTTTTTGGTATTGTGGTCGAATCTGTCTGATCTCTGCATAATTTGAGGATGTGCTAATCGCTTTCCTGATATTATTGATCTTCTCAGAAAAGAAAGAAGCAACCTCATTGCATTTGCTGTCGGAGAGCATTTCACTGGCAATCTGACTTTGGGGGGTTTGTCAGTCTCTCAACAGTAGCAAAAAGAGTGCGAGTGTTGTTTAAGTTACTGTTTATAAGGTTTGAGAAGAAACTCTGTCTAGCTGTGGCTAGTTCCACATTGAAAGCATGAAGACTGTCTTTATATGCTATAGTGAATTTTAAGTTTTGTCTTCCGCCACATCCGCTCAGCTTTTCTGCATTGTCTTTTCATACTCGAAACTGCTGTTGATTTTCTCCAAGCTGATTTCTGTCTGCCAGTCTTCTTGCTGACTTTCACAGGAGCAATGTCATCAATAACATTCTTAACTTTTGAGTTAAAGGAATCAAGGAGAAGATCAACAGAGTCTGCAGAAATGCTTGGTGTTAAAGATATAGCCTCCATAAATAGCACACTAGTGTTTTCGTTAATGCATCTCTTTCTGACAGAGACAGATCTAGATTCAGTGGTAGCAGAGATCAATATATCAAAGAAAATACAGAAGTGATCAGATAGTGCTATGTCCTTAATAACAATGGATGAAATGTTTAGACCTCTACTGATGAGTAAATCTAACGTATGTCCACTATTGTGTGTAGGTTCATGCACATGCTGAATCAGGCCAAACGTGTTTAAAACAGTTGTAATTTATTTTGTAGTTTTGTTTTCTGCATTATCTATGTGAATATTAAAAAATATTTTAAAAAATAAAAAAAATAGCAAAAAATTTAGGGTTGGTTGGCAGGAAATTGAGAAGAAACACTTTATAATATGCTGTAAATCCACAGTAGAGAGCAGGATGAGTGCAAACTAAACTACAAACAGAGAAACATGTCTTAACAGGGGATCATTGAAGAAAAGGCACTGTAAATATGAGTGAAAATCTAGTAAAATAGCAGATACATGAATATTGTACTTTACCCAGTAAAATCCACATGCTCTTTTAAAGCTTCTTCATGGCTGATTAAGGCGTCTGTCTTTCTTTTAGGATGGAGAGTGTGAGTGATATCAGTTTTATGGAGGACAACCTGTTTAAATGTGCATCACATGACACCTCTTCTCTCCTCCCGTCCAACACATTTCTCAAGATTGTGAACACATAGAGAATACAGAGAAAATACATATAGATTAATTTCAGTAAGTTGTTCTGTTTCCTACTACACCTTCTAATGTTCATTAATGTTTATTTTGTGTTGTAACTAGTAGTAAAGACGAAGAGATGATCAGTTCACGTGCCACTTGAACTGATCGATCTGTTACGCCACATTAAAGAGCACAAACAACAGTTATTGTTTGAATTTTGTTATGAAATTAACATAATTTGAAAGCTGAGATTTTGTTTCATATATGAATTAACAAAGAACAAAGCTTATTGCGATTATTGGATGGCAGGTGAGCTGAGGTGAGCTGAGCTATAAATAATGTTGTTGTGTCTCT